GCACACATCAATCTACTTGCTCATGCAGCTTGACCAACTTATTTCCCTGCCATATGCATAAAGTTTTCAGAAGAAAACATATTTTTCCATGAGTAGTGGTTGATTTAAAAAGTCCTCATGCAAACACCCCCACCTTTTGGCAAAAGCTCAGTAGACGTTTTACGGCGCTCGCAACTGCATAAGGTATAAGGTCATATGAGCGCCAGAAGATTAGAGGTGTTACAAGAGAGTAACAAACATAAAAAAGAAGGAGGGGAGATAAGGACGATAAACTTTTTATAGAAAAGAAGAAGCAAACCACACCAGAGCACCCGCCAACCACCCACGGGTAAGGAGTGATTATGACAGACTATTTTGAAAATGGATATACGATCACCGAAAACCATTTAAATTCTAACCAGCTAAAAAAAATTACCAGAGGCCATACTATAAAAGAAAAACGCAGAGGAAAGATCTAAAAAGGCATTTTGCTGCTTCACAACAACACGCCAGCACACACTTCAAGAAAAGCTGCAGAAATTGCTCAAGAAAAAGGCTATGAAATTTTACCACATCCATCCTATTCTCCAGATTTAGTCCCATCTGACTTTTTTTATTCCCCAAACTAAAAAAACGATTTAAAAGGAAGGCATTTTGAAAGTGATGATGAGGTCATAGAAGCGGCAGAGGGCTGTTTTCCTGACATAGAGAGGTCCTCTATTCTCAAGGTGTTTTCATGGCCATTCACCAATGGCAAAAAATGTGTAACTGTGGGAGGCGACTACATCAACAAAATCTAAGCTTAGTACCAAATTTCATCTTTCTATACTGCCTGTATTCCTTCATGGTCAGGTAAAAAAAACTTTTGAAATGCCCCTCGTACATGTATCTGGTTGTCTTGGCTTGTCTTATGCACGTTGTGTAGGCTGCCGCAAAAATTTCCCTTGTCAAGCTTTACCTGTCGGCGTGTTTCGTAGCGTGCATTTAGAAGAAGTGACCATGAGTTTGTCAGTCAAAATTATATGGTAAAAAACCTGTCATATGACAAAAGTGTGTGTTTAGGCGGAGACTACTGTACAATGTGAGGAATATCACAGAAACTTCCACTTTCAAAAACCGTACTGGGCCCAAGGGAAGAAACCATAACCTTTTCATTTCATGTTCAACCCTGCTGAAACAGAGATCTAATGTCTAGCCCGGACACCAGTAATGTATTTCCTCAATGGTAATTTTGGTTACAATAAAAGTAAATCACAGACATTATTTAACTCGCAGAGGACACTGTTCATTCCCACTTAATGCCCGATTCTATGTTCAGAACTTTTTTGTTGTGCGATACAGGTTGGTGGTAGAAGGTGATACAGGTTGTTTGATAAGACAGAAAGTTCTTCAGTGTGTGAAAAGTTAGTACGGGGCATGATGTGGTGGAACCAGGCGCTCATCAATTTTTGGACATATGGGGTTCTTGGTATAATTGAAAACACTGTTTATTTATCTTGCGCTTGGAGAAAAAAATATCAATCTATTTTGATTTTGAATAGAAATCAAAATTAGCGAGAAAATGGCCCCCAAAGTTTCGCAATTCCCATAGATTGAAAGTCCTAGGAAAAAGAATATGTGAGCTTTTGCCAAAAGGTGGGGGTGTTTGCTTAAGGACTTTTTAAATCAACCACTACTCATGGTAAAATATGTTTTCTTCTGAAAACTTTATGTATATGGCAAGGAAATAAGTTGGTCAAGCTGCATGAGCAAGTAGATTGATGTGTGCATCTTATATCTCTACATAGAAAGATAATAGTACTAAAAATAGGGCATTTTTTACTCATCCTGAGTGCACACGTAATTGTATGTTAAATACAGAATATTGTTAATCTTAAACTATCAAACAGAAGTGCATTCAAACATTGAAAATAGTTTGTATGCACCATCATAACAGCATGTGTCCATTAAAAGGGTTTTATTTTTTTATGTTATTGCTGAGTAAAATTTATAAGTTCGTTCATAACTCGTGTCATAATTACATCATCAGACTTTCCAAGGTCTAGAAAACCCAAATTGTTAAACATATCATCCCGGGGAATGACCGGTATTAAACATTGGTTCGACATTGATCCATCAGAACGGTAATTTTCCGCTCCATCGCATGGTTTTGCTTAAATATGACTTTGATTGAGATTATCCAGGTTTGTCATAATGATGATCTAACCATTTTCTCAATCTTTAAATTATCAGTGGTAGCTCAGAACACCAACAACAGTTCTTCACGACAGGAATCTATCACGAGCCTGAGTTATGGTAGCCAATCACAGTAATAAAAATATTGATATAAGAATACAGAAATGTGAAACTGTTTAGGTTTAACACTCTTACCCTTGGAACACAAAACAAGCTTAATTTAAAGCAGGATTTTCAAATTGAAAGTCATCTCTGAGACGGCCAGGCCAAATGAGAAAATTTGGGTGAATGCCTTTCCCAAGGGCACAACGTCGAATTTCTTTCTGGCAGCATGATAATCCCCCCCACCCCCTCCCCTCCCCCTAAAAAAAATCATCATTACACATTACATTCATCTTTAATAAGAAATAGTTTAACTCGGTGTTGTCAAAAAAGTATTATTTTCCTTGTCAAACCTTTCTCCCTTAACTCACCATAGTCATATGTATGGGATACTGGTTTCTCTTTTTGATAATTGGCAGCCATCACAAGACAAATCTGAAAGCAATCAATAAGTATAAATTATTATGCAATAGATTTCTTAAAGGGCATGATGACAAAGCACATTGGCCAAACTGACAACGGTCAAACTTACATTTACAGAATGTGACAGCTTAAAACATAGATTCTATAGTAAATAGAAACAATCTATTCATGTAAAGTTACTCCAGCGACATCATCTATACACAGGAACAATAGATAAAACCACAGAGAGACATCTTATATCATGGCAAGGACAAAATTTAGCTCATTTGGGAGGTGGGCTGCTTTGACCCAGCCTGAGACAGATGCATGCAAAGTTCCAGAATAAAGACAAAAACACCCGACAAAATTCTACCCACACAGGAATAAAACTGGCTTCTCTTTTGCAACGACGAAGCACCAAACCCCCACTCAAAAAACACTGGCAGACCTGAACCTAACTCTACTTGGAGCAAAATACGATTCACACCCAAAATAAACTGACCACAAACACAACCATTTTGGGGGCAAGCTTCTTCCACACAGAGCTCCCCATTACACACAGTGTGCGTATATCATATTAAACCTGCAGATTACCCCCCTTTAAGTTTTGGTGGTGTGTGAGCGTTACTCTTTAAAATCTCCTTTGGGGGTTTGCATATATATACGCTTTAAAACGTAGATATATATGGTGTCTAGTCTACTTTTTTCTACATATGGCATTGGACAGAAGGGCGAAAGCCCAGCTGTTGCTGGATCGATAACAACAACAACAACAACAACAACAACTAGTCTACTTTTGTGCAAACAATGTCAGAAACAATTGTTAGATCTAGATCTGATAGATCTAGAATCTAGATTTACCCAATAATAATATCGAAGTGACTATTTCTCCGAACGTTCGGGAAAATAAAGCTAAACTCTATTGCTCCAAACGGTTTCCGATCTTGAGATTTGTATGGTTATTTGCTAGATTTAGGCATCATCCTTTCAATTATTTCATTCTGCCATTCTGCGAGGACTGGGAAGAAGCATTTTTTTGCATCAAATTCAATTTCTAGAGCTAGAGATTTTTAAATGTCTGAATATTCAGATACTTCAGTCGTGGTTGGGGCAACGTTCCCGGACATACTTCATTTTAAAAAACCTCCAAAAGGTTCTGCGAGAAAACAAGACTGCTCGACCTCGGCAGTAACCTATTTTGCAATTAGTCACCCAGCAAAAACTAAAATTCTTCATGTAAAAAAAAATCCCTCCCCTCCCCCCAATCTGTTCACACCTTACACACACACACACACACCAAACACACACACACACGAGCCACTCCATTCGCTAAATTATCAACAAATCTCGAGAGCGGAAACCGTTCTGAGAAATAGGGTTCAAGTTTATTTTCCCGAACGTTCGGAGAAATAGAGCCGGCCTAATAATATTGTGATCGGAATAAATAAGACGTCATAAAATTAAAAGGAGTCAAATCCTAAAATCTAGGAGGTTTTTATCAAGAAACTGAGAAAGCTTCCACAATTCAGGCACTACAATATTATTAGTATTAGATCTAGATTCTAGATCTTACTGTCTGGGCATTTCAGCCGTCTGGACAAGTCGGCCGCCCGACTAAACAGTGTTGTTCCAACTTGTTTTAATCTAGATCTAGATTAGAGATCTAGATTTAGTCTAGAGAAATCTAGATTCTTTTGATTCTAGATCTCTAGGCCAACAATTTTGACGATTTTGTTCATCAAGAAAAAGAAAGTTCAAAGAGAACAGGACAAAAATAAGGAAGAGGCTAGCGGTACTTAATGACAGCTAGACTAGCAGTCTAGCCGTATTTAAGTACGGCTAGACTGCTTGGCTAGCCGTATTAGACAGCTGGGCTAGCCATACTTAGATCTATACAGTCCTACTAATAGCCGCCCGGTGCCGTCTGGAGCCGTCCGTTGACTTATTTTTTTATTATTTTGCCTTACGATTTTTTAAAGTAATTTTTTGTTTGTGACCTGCCAACCCAAAGAGCTGAGTGAGCGTGAGATTCAAACCAACTGACCCTGAGATTTGCTGCTCTTGGCGTGAGATTTGACTTTCCATCTTGTTCAATTTGCTACCTATCACATATATACACGTATTTCTGCGCTCAAAATGGCCGTAATTATGTAAAAGAAGCTAAACTACGACGTTTTCATAAACTTATAGAATGACTAACCCAATTATTTGAAATATATCTATGATTAAAAAGAAAAATAACAAAATATTAAAATTAAAGGGTGCCAATATATACTAGACTTTAACTTTAACTCTGCGGGGCTGCCGGTGTATGATTTTTACCCATTGGCCGAAACATCCACATCGGCTAACTAACTAGAATCTATGCTTTGTGCAGCTTTTAGAACCGCACATTCAAAACGATCTTGAGGCCTGCTATGAAATAAGTGAAAACTATCATTATCTCCCCCTCCCCCCCAAAAAAAACAAAAACAAAAACAAACCACAAAAATCACGGCAATATAGTTTTAATACTTGACGTTAAAGATCTATTACTATTATTATGCTACCGGTACCACAATGCCGGTGACTTACAATACAAAAGTTTATTATTCATCGTATCATGGGCAAAGACTGAAAAGAATAACATTGCTCACTTCACCCTTCTCGAAATTCGCCACCAAAATGTCGGTATTACTCTTATTTTCGCACGTGTATTCGGTTAGATAGAAAAATCATCTTTTGATGCAGGTTTGTATGAAACCAGCCCCCAACCCCCCCCCCCCCCCCCTCCATCACTCCCCTCACCCGTTAGTCTCCTACTGATTATGTAAATAATACTAGTAGTACGGCAGAGTGCACTGTAATAATCCTGAGGCACAATGCCAGTTTGGGAGAAAAAAAAATCATATTTGTGCGGCAGTTGATAAAAAATTGTTATCAGTGTGGGCCTACTGGTCTTATAATTAATTAAATTATACCAAACTACAATTACAACAACATTGGCCTACAGGTGTACAATAGTGTTGTAAAAGATGATGAGAACTAGTGATAGACTTAATATTGCAATACTCATTTCATGTGGGTATGTGGTTATACATTGATCATTTGATGTATTCAGAGTTCACTAAAAGGTCATCTGTCTAACCGCTAGTGAAGTCTAAACGTGAAGAGTGTATGTGAACATTGGGTAATTCAATTAATATAACAAGTAATATGCTACGATTATGAGCCCATCTGTATAGTATTAGTAGTATCATCATCTATTGTTCATTAAAGAGAGGCGAGAGTGGGCTTTTCAGATCTTTCATACGATGCAGTCGCACAGCTTTTACAAAAGAATAACGAGTAGATAAAACGTCAAACGGCAATTTACACTTTTCACTCACTGACTCTGTGAAAAGCATGAGATTTCATGGCCTAGCGTGAGAGCGTGAGATGACATGCCAAAGCGTGAGTCTCACGCTCAAAGCGTGAAGGTTGGCAGGTCTTCCGGCATGTTCACATTTGACATCTTCCCGAAATGCAACGATTTTTTCCAGCAAGTTAGAATTTACAACTTCCTCACCAAGGATGTGCCCGCCAAAAGTATTAAAAATATCAAAAAATCAAACCCATCAAGTAAAGATGCCTCGCAAGACACAATGGCCTTGTGGTGTTTGTTTCAAATCATGCCAAATGGATTTTTTTATATATATTTTTTTTTTATAGGAGAGTGTTTTACGGCGCTCGCAACTGCATAGGTCATATGAGCGCGCGGGACACACCTAATATTTTCAGTTGGTAGAGTCAGGAGCCCAGAGGAAGGGGCAAAGGAGGTGAGGGGGTGAGGGCAGAAAGTGGAGACGAAAACAGACGACAGAACATTGCTAGAGAGCAGGAAATGAGGTGAAAGGAAACAAATTTAGAGAAGAAAATATTTTGGTCGCTACCCGGATTCGAACCCGGGACCTTTTGAATGAGAGGCCAACACCTTAACCTCTAGGCCACGAGAGCCAAATGGATGCAGTGCTCTGTGTCAAATGTGAGAAGAAGTATCACAGAGAATGTGAATGCATCACAGAAATACAGTATAGACATGGGCCACCTGCCTCCCTCATGATTTTATTTGCAAGAATTGTGCATCATTCGAGGGTCATTTCGATTTCAGGTAAGAAAACATGGTAAAGAAAAGAGTTCCATACATTCTGTCTGTCTGCTGTCTGTCTTTAAAATGTTCTGCTCGTTTAGCTTTTAACAGCTTATGATTATATTAATGAGGGGGGGGGGAGGGGCTGGGTATTGATGACAGATGGTGATAATGGGGGGAGGGGGTAAAAAATGAGCAATATTTTTTATGACATAATATGTGTACGCTTCCTTTTCTCAGTTGCAGATATCCAGTCTGCAGTGACTGATGACAGATGAAACAGCGTCAGCGCTCTGGGGCTAAAGATAACGTTCATGACAGATGGTGACAGGGGGGGTGGGGGTAACAAACGAGCAATATTTTTGATGACATAATCGTATGCTCCCTTTTCTCTATTGCAGATCCAGTCTGCAGCGACTGATGACAGATACATGATAAACAGCGTCAGCGCTCTCGGGCTAAAATGGAACAAATTCTACTTCGCCATTACAGCTTGGACACCCCCACTCAATGTATCAAGACCAAGTATCCTCATTCCGATTTGTTGGTGTGGATTCTGATGCATACAGCAAATTAAAATCCTTTAATATGGGAAAGACAATGGAAGAAAACCTATACAAGTGAGTGGTCATGGGAGCTGTTTATTCAATGCAGTCTCCATGGCTTTATATGGAAATGAAGCTCACTCGAAGAAACTATGCACCCGAACAACAATCAAACTCATTCTGCATGGCAAAGAATATGAACAGAAATACCCTCGTTTCAAAGATGTTTGTTCCATGACTGAAAGTGAAAGCATCACCGAGGGATACAAAAGAGGCTACTCGTCAGCATAAATGCTGCCTTATCAACCGTTATATATACAACATCCTATGGTTTTGTTGTGTACCCACCCCTGAATGGTCTGATTGATGAGGTATTTCGG